CTATGTCTTTCTTTTCACGTATTTTCTCATTGATTAATTAAGGAAAGGTAATCTCAACTTGCAAAACATATGATTAGAAAGTACACAAAATTCTCTATAAGATGGGCTAATTTTTACTTAGAAAAATGAATGTTCATCGTTGAGTAAAAGTTGTTTTACTTTGCGCCTACCGTTTTGGTAGCGTTGATCGGAATTCCCCCAGTGAGACACGTGTAGTGATCGATCAGCGGTCAACATAGAGCTGGAAAATTGATGAAACTAATTAACCTTAATGAATTTTCAGAAGATTTTTACATGAATAGATAGCTAAGGCTCTCACCTATCTACCTATGTAATAGCAGTTTTTTCCGTTCTAAAACAGCGTTATGGCGTTCAAAATACTAGAAAAATTTCATGCACTGATCGGAATTACCCCAACCGACTCTATATGTTTTCTTCTACATTTGTTTTTCATTGACTCTTAGTTAGCTGTTTTTATTACACATATTTCGTTTTTTTTGATTTCATGTTTGAACGGGTGATGTTCGTGACGATTGATTTCGACATTGGGATGAAAAATATGTACAGTTTTCGTCTGCATTAAGACGAGGGCGAACTTCGACTGTATTTTTCATTGTTTCTTTGCCCATGTTGACTTCCATATACCGTGAGACTTTTGAGCCTCCCAGACGCGTTCTTCGAATTTTTTTGACTTTTAAAAGTTTAAAAAACTTTTAGACCTTTTTTATGTGATGTTGCTCTGCGAATTTTTTAAGAAAACGTGTATTTTTAAGAACGAAATTTTTTTTTTTTGGCACAGAGTGTAATATCCCATTTTTACTGTTTTCATGTAAAATTACAAATTGATAACTCTACAAACCACGTCAGAATAACAAGATGTACTCTATTTTATCTAATCTTACATTATATGACTATATATCGACTTCAAAAAGCTATATAAAGGAAATATTGTTTTTTGGACGTCTGAGGCCTTAGGGGTTTTAAAAGAACTCTTTATAAGATTCATTACCAACTATTCTTCTGAAAAGGGTGAACAGATTACGTACTCGAGTTTCCTAGAAGACTTACCAATTGCAAAGTACATCGAAAAACTATTTCAAACGCACCATTCGACAGAACGTTCATTTCTGTACCAATAAGATATTTTCCACGTTGGTGTACCCACATGGGTCAATAGTTGAAATACTTGGACGATATAAAGATTTTGGCGTATCTTAGTGCTTTCAACACTCCGTTAGTCGTTTTTCTGCCATAATGAAAATTATGTATTGTTCGAAAACACACCACTGTATAGCCCTTGAAATTCTTAACAAAGTGAACTGGTCACAATATCCAGATAGGTCGGCCCAGCCATTAAAGATATGGAAAAGAGGCTTTTGGGTGTTATCTAAGCAGTACAGTGTGTAATAATCACGAGAACTCTCTTGCTTTTGACCTTTTAGTAAAAGGTCAAAGTACCAAAGTATTCCGGTGAAAAAGCACTATAGAATGCCGGGAGAAGTCTTATTTTGCCAGAATTTTTCGCTCTATCAGGCTATATGATTTGCAAAATTTCTCACTAAAAACTAAGGACTTAGTTTTTCAGCGGTTACCTTTTCCAGAAGCTCTATTATCAGCTTTTCTCATGAAGGACAATATGCATCTAATCTGATAGAAAAGTCTTCGGTCTATTCAAAACATTATTCAAATTGATTCCAGCTTTTACTAAAAGGTCAAAAGCAAGGGAGTTCTTGTGATTATGACACACTGTACTGTTTATATAACACCCAAAAGCCTCTCTTCCATATCTTTAATGGCTGGGTCGACCTATCCGGATATTGTGACCAGCTCACTTTGTCAGCTCGTAGTGGCTAGTTGAGAAAGATTGGTCATAGGATCCTCATCGTGGAATAAGCTACCCACTTTTCACGGCTTTCCAAATAGTATTTCTAATGTCAAGGGATCCTAGGACACTTTTGTCCTAATTGAAGTGGGTACTGTTTTTCATGGGCGTAGAATAACTGACTGAGCATATAAAAATATAAAATTTATTCTTTTTGTCGTTTCTTAGTTTCTATGTTCACCTTTATATGCGCGAAGAAGAAAGAAAAATCAAAAAGATGGCTTTCTTTGAAGTTGGAACGTAAGCTGAGTTGTACTTCAGTGTAGGAAAACATGAAATCTCAACACGGAGATCCTCGAGTAAAAATCACGGTTACCTTAGCGAAATCTTTTCGACGTACAACGTAATCGACTACGCCTAATATCTATGACTCCCGAACCAGTTTTCTTTAAATAATAAAGTTTTCTGAAAAAGTAAAACAAATTTTGTTTAATATGGAAGATATTTTCCAGGCGATCAAATTTGACAGCGGCCTGATTGGTAGCCTGGCTCCGATCAACATACTTCGCAGGATGGACATTCCAAACTCTATTCGACGAAAAGTAATGAATTCGACGAAAAGTATGATAATAATGTAGCTATTCGATGGTATACAAAAGAATCTTTTCTATATTCGATGCTCAATCGAGCTTTGAGAACACAAGACATTGAGACTATCATGAAGATGGGATTCTTTGCACAAAATATTCATCAACAAATTGTAGAAATGCATACTGAACAATCGAAAAATCGAGATCGAGAAAAATTCATTGTTTATAGAGGACAAGGCATGACACCTGATGAATTTGAAAAGGTGGTCTTCTCTCGTTCAATAATTTCTTGTCGACGACTCTTGGTGAAAAAATCTCATTCGAATTCGCGTGAAATTCTTTTCTCCATGCATACCGTCTTTAGGATTATGGGTATTCAAGAAAGAAGTAATCGATTTTGGCAAGTCGATTTTTAGTCCTGACAACTGACAATGACCAACAGCTTGAAAATCTTACCGATTACTTCAGAAAAGAGATTGAAGGAAGTACTCCTTGATTGGGCCATTTGATGTTTAAAATGGGCGAGTTTAATCAGGCTGAAGAAATATATGCACCACAACTTGATACGACAGACGAAAAGAATTGGCGTAAACATGTTCATCTCAATCATCAACTTGGATATGTCTACAGTGAGAAGGGTGATTATAAGACTGCGCTTTTATACTATGAAAAGGCGCTTAAAAATGAACTGAACTTTCTACCATCTGACGATTCTTCACTAGCTCCGATCTATAATAATATTTCTGGAGTGTATAATTCATTGGGAGACTATTCATCTGCGCTTTCGTCTTATAAAAAAGCACTCGAAATAGAAGAGAAATCTCTTCCTTCTGACCATCCTACACTGGCTGCAACCTACAACAACATCGGTTTAATACATGAAACAATAGCAGACTTTGCCACTGCACTTTCATTTTATCAAAAGGCGTTCAAAATTCGACAGGAAACGCTTCCACCCAGTCATCCAGATTATGGAACCATATATGGTAACATTGGCGGACTACATCAAGAAATGGGAGACTATCCAACTGCTCTCAAATTCTATCGACAGGCACTTGATGTTCAAGAAAAATCTCTTCCTCCAAAGCATCCAAAATTAGCTACAAGCTACGGTAATTTTGGCTCTATTCGCAATTTGATGGGTGACAAATCAACAGCACTCGAATATTATGAAAAGGCACGTGAAATCCGAGAATTATCTCTTCCTGCTAATCATCCAGACAAAGCTGACAGCTACAATTGCATCGGCTCAGTATATAATTCGATGAAAGATTATTCCAATGCACTTTCATGCTACGAAAAAGCACTCGAAATCCAGAAGCAATCTTTTTCAGGAAATCATCCACGTTTTGCTAATACCTACAATAACTTTGGTTCGGTCTATAGTTCGATGGGAGACAAGCAAACTGCGTTATCATACTATCAAAAAGCACTCGAAATTCGAGAACTTTCACTCCCTCCAAAGCATCCCGATGTAGCTGCTAGTTACAATAACCTCGGTACAATCTACAGCTCTATGGGCGATAATCAAAACGCCTTATCGTCATATGAGAAATCATTCGAAATCAAACTAACTTCGCTTCCGCCGGATC